GGCTTTCTGGCCAAGTTCAAATCACGACAAATGTACTAAACCAAGGTGATGTTAGTATGGCATTAAGTATCAACTGGGGCAGCTACGCTCTAAGCAGTATCTCAGTAGAACCTCTGAGTTGGGGGAAAAAAAAARACCAAGAACACAAGCTGGATAAAGGGAACAACCCCCATATTTGTTATTGCCATGGGATCCTTCCACCTGTCCCACCCATCTTTTACCCAGTCCAGAGCTCTCTTTGCAACTCCTGCAGAAGGCCAGAATGGGAATTATTTACCTGCAGCTGTAGACCTTCCAATGTGCCTCCACATGAAGTCTCTACAGAAAGCAGAGCATGGGGCAGGCACGTGTCAAAAGGTGCCTCCTCCACAGAATGAACTTTGGGAAGAAGGTCTGGGTGATGGCAGACCAGGGGAAGGTCGGTGGAGGGCTGGAGTGAACCTGCAGAGAAGCCTAGTCCAGGTGAAGGACAGCAAYGTGGAAGGACAAGGGCAGCTGGTAAGGGCTGGAGCTCAACTCTTCCCTACCAAAGTGGCAGAAGTGTCCAGAAGGACAAGGCCATCGAGTAGGTGACATATGGCCTTGGCCTCTGTGGGCAGAGAAAGCCAGATTCACATGTCAGGGAAAGACATGATCACACCCATCASCAGGTTCAGCACAGCTGGAGGGGCACGGATTATCTCCCCAGGAAGCCTGAAACCTGAGATGGGGCTCTGCTCACCTTATTTCAGCCAAGAGGAGGAGGGCAAACACCTCCAGCAGAGAGCCTCCAGTGGCTGGAAGACGTGTGGGCTGAGATGATTTTGCACAGTCCCAAGCTAGATCTAATCCATCTGGACAGACCCATTTGYTGGCAGCTCCTTTGTGCTGGAAGTGAGGATGTGCACACCAGACCCATCCTGGCCAGCCCTCCCCATCAGCAGGAGGCTCTGGGGCCAGCAGGAAAGGGTCTGGGAGGAACAGAGAAGAGCTTTCCCTATGCTCCAAGCATCCCTGATCCATGGGGTGAAGGGATACAGACCAACAAACTTGACTCTGARCTCCCTGGGAGTGAGACAGGGACTGGCTGATCCCGTTAGATGTGGAAAGGTCACTGAATGGACTGCCTGCATGCTGGGGATCTCCAGGGTCTCCTTGTCCCCCACAAGAGAGGCTTCAAGAAACATCCAAACTGCCACCATGCTCCCACCACCACCATCCCTCATTCCTGGATGAGATCTGCTCAGCAGATCTTTGCAGCTAACTACGGGCAGGTTGGATTCAAAAAGAATAAAAACCTTAACCCCAAAATGAAGCCTAGATCTGAATTTGCATATACTTTGTTAAAATAACACTTGGGGACTGTGAAATGACACTTTGCATGGGAAATGTCAAGTGAGGGCTACTCAGGGGCACTACTGAACTGTCTCTTCTTCCAGAGTATCCCACAGCAACAGGACAGACCCTGGGTCAAAATGAGAGTTGTGCAGGAAAGGCATTTCCTAATGGTCACAGGCTGAGCCCTGCACCCTAAATGGCACCAACTAATGCARGGAAATTGTGCTGGTTTTGGMTGGGGTGGMGTTAACTGTTCRTAGTGACTGGTGTGGGTCTGTGTTTTGGATTTGTGCTGAACACAAGGTTGATAATAGAGAGATGTTTTCATTATTGCTGAGTGGGGCTCACACAGGGTCAAGGCCTCTCTGCTTTTCACGAGGCCGTGCTGGGGAGGAAGGGCATGGGAGGCTGGGAGGAGGCACAGCCAGGACAGGTGACTCAAACTGACCAGAGGGATATTCCAGACCACACGACATCRTGCTCAGCATATAAAGCTGGAGGGMAGAARSAGGAAGGGGGRGACATTTGGAGTGATGGYGCTTGTCTTCCCAAGTTGCTGTTCCATGGCGTGGGGCCCTGCTCTCCTGGAGGTGCTGAACATCTGCCTGCCCATGGGAAGCARTGAATTAATTCTGTTTTTCTTTGCTTGTGTGTGGGGCTTTTGCTTTCMCTATTAAACTGTCTTTAYCTCAACCSAAGAGTYCTCCRGCTTTTACCCTTTYAACCCAGCTTTTACCCTTTCATTTGTCTCTGGTCCTGCTGGTGGGGAGTGAGTGAGAGGCTGYGAGKGRYTTGGCAGCTGGCTGGGGTTGAACYAGKWCAGAGATGTATAAATCATATAATCATAGGATGGCTTGGGTTGTAAAGGACCTCAAAACTCATCCAGTGCCACCACCTGCCACAGCAGGGACACCTTCCACTGTCCCAGGRTGCYCCAAGCYCTGTCCAGCCTGGCCTTGGGCACTKCCAGGGATCCAGGGGCAGCCACAGCTTCTCTGGGCACCCTGTGCCAGGGCCTCCCCACCCTCACAGGGAACAATTCCTTCCCAATATCCATTCTAAATCTACCTTCTTTCAGCTTWRAGCCATTTCYCCTTGTCCTGTCACTCCACCATCRCCTGATTTAACATCCTCCATGGGATGAAACTTCCCAGTTTGTTACAGGCACTCTGCCCTTGCCCCAAAGGCACCTGCAGCTGCAACAGGAGGACACAATGAAGGGCAGGATGGGCTCATGCTCCAGCCTGTCCTTACAACAGCTTCTCTGCTTCCTTAGAGGATGGCACCAAGGTCAAGAGGGGCAGAGGACACCCCAAAACCAAATGGGTCATCCAGCACCTGGGAGAAGACTTGAAAAAAATCCTGTTTTCAAAACCCAAGGATTTTTCCTTACAGTGAATTGCTTCACACAAAACTCTGCAGCTACATCTCTCTTTCTCCATGTTTTATTTTTTTTTACAGAGAAAAAAAAAGCAGCATAACAAGGAATCMCCAGCAATCAGTATCTCCAGTGTGGTGCACACCAGAGCAGGATGTGTCCTGGGAAATGCATCTCCCTCCTGGGTAGTACATAGGTGTTGCTAACACTGCAATTTGCTTTGCTGTGCGTATCTCATCCATCARGAAGGAACTGGAACGGGGGGATGTGAGTTATTATCTCCTCATAATGATATGGGAGATGCTCGATGGGCTCTGTCAAGCTGCAGAGCTCTGCTGCTGGCAGGAYTCTGCTGAGGATACATCCACACAGGATCTTGCTAGGCTGAAAAGCAGGAGAGACAGCCCCAAACAGGACAGGTGAGTCTGAACCCCCCAATGTAACACCTACACTGTCCTTTTTCAGCTGTGACAACACTCCAGCAACAGGGACCAAAGCAATCACAGCCAACAGRCCCCATGCTCATGCTCTGCCCTGGCTGAGCTCCCTCTGCCCTAGAACAGGACTAGAAATAAGGCAACTTCTCCTCAAGCCCTGCTGAACCTTTTCTCTCCCTCCACAGTTTTTCACCTTAGTGCTCTCTGCAGATATTGGCTCACACAGAAAGGCCAGGGCACCTGCAAAGCATTGTCTGCACAATCCATTCCCCACTCCAGAGCACTCCCGCAGCCTGGGAAGGATTTCCAGCTCCCAGCCCCCATGAAGTCAGAAAAGGGAAAACAAATTCCAACTCCATGAGTCTGTGGGACAAAATCCACTACTYTCCTCCAAACACATCTGTTCTGAAAGCAGCAAGACACAGTTTCCTGAGGTCATTACCCTCATGCCCATCCCAAGTGCTGTGCACAGTGTCCAGGCAGGCATGAGATGGGCTCCTGCAGTTCCCCCTCTCCTCCTGGCCAAGGGGCATTGCAGGTTTTTCACCTCTTCACCTCATAGCAGGTACATTTTACCCTCTCCACAGGTGACCAGGGCCCAGTTTCAGGCTTTTCAGCAGTGATATTCAGGGTTTGCAGCTGACCTGCCAGGGCTTGGAGTTGTCCTTCASCCTGGCAGTGGCTCAAGATTTCCCCATGGCAGCTCAGGAGTTGGGAAAGAAGCTGAGGGCCTGGGAAAGCTCRGAGGAGCTTCCACAAAGGTGCTAAGGCACCTGGGCACTAGCACTAATCCTCAAGGCCTTGAGCACCATCTCCTGGTCATTCCTGGATTTAGAATAAACTTAACCTCACACTTCCTCTGTGTCACCATCCCCGCAAATCTTGGGGCACCTAAGAGCCTTTCAAGACATGTGCAACCCTTCAGCAGGATCACTCAGACGCTGCCACACACACAAAATGCCATKAGCTCCCCCAGCCCCTCTCCTGGGAGTTCTGCTGCTCCCTTCTTCCTTCCAAGTTATAACGGGAACAAACTCTCTCACTGCCAGGGACACCTTGGCACATTCCTGTGCCACCCTCTCTGCCTGGTGGCACTGAGCAGCYGGCACAAGCTGCTTCTGGAAAGCTCCAATCTGTTCCCCTGCCATGGCTCTGGGCAGCAGGATACAACAGGCACTGCTGATGGAGGGTTCCTGGGCTCTGGGATCCACTGGGATCACTGCTCTGTGTGCATGAGGAAATGGAAGATAAATGCTACCAGTCCCCTCAGAGCCACAGGAAAGCTGCATCTATCTAATTGCACTTCATAATGGATTCAGCAAACCATTAATTATCAGATTATATTTTAGGAAGCTGCAGATAAAAAAGCTTTATGAAATTTAGCCTTAAAGGAACTGGCGTGTGCAATGAAGCTGTTGCATCATGCTGGTACCAGAGAAGCAAAGTTTGCTGTAGGTATTGAATGCATTTTACAGGCAGTGCCCAGTGAGCCAGGGGAATGTTCACATGCAGCCACAGCAGCTGTCCCACACCCCAGCACCACAAGGGACATTGGCATGTGAGCACAGCTCTTTCCCCTCTTTCAGCATGTCCCTGGTGAATTAGAGGGTGATGGGGATCTCAGGGTTATTTGCAGAGGATGGATATGCCCAGAATTGCCTGGGACTCTCCTTTCCTAACAGACAGCCACAGCAAAAACATGGATGGGATTGGACCTGTGTGGCACAARGTGCCACCCAAACAGCACTGAAGTMATTTAGCACAACCCCCAGAAAGCCTCTGCAGGAGAAGAGAGGCCCAAAGGTCTGCTCTTACAGCTCTCTGCTGGAAGAGTTCTCCAGCTGCACAACAATACAGGTGAGAGCAGAAGGAACAAAGCAGCCCTCACACCTTGCACAAGATACTTGTGAGAACATCACTGATTCAGCCATAAAAATCTCCATCCTAAATTCTCAGGAGAGCTTTTTTTGGTTTCCTTTATCTGTAAGACCCATCTTTGTCCTGCTCAAGTCCTCTCCCCTCTGTTGACAGCAGCAGAGGATCCCTCCTGATTCCCATCTTTTCCTTTGCTGTTTTATTTCTCATGTGTTGGGKAGATGAGTGCTCACCAGAACTGGCAAACTGCAGAGACTTCCCAAGCAGTGAATATCTATTAACCTCTCCTGTCCCTGGTCATGCTGTGTTTGCTGCATGTGTGGGAGTGCTTTCCCAAAGAAACCCCAAATCTCCCAGGTGGAGCAGCACACTGAGCTGCTGAACAAGCCTAGTGGATAGCAGGKGCCAGGCACAGGCACCTCCCATTGTCCCTCACGCGGTTTCTTCACAAATCAGAGCGAGTGTCACCAAACAAGTCCTCCATAGTCACAACCACCAGCTAAGAGCCAGTTTGTCTCACTTGGGATTCAGGCATCTTCTCAAGTTTGGCATCATCAAAAGAGATGAAAGGCTCTGCTGCTCCTTGCTCTGACATTACAGTCACCTGTGTGGAAGGAAGATGACCCAAGAGTCAGACACACAGAGCACCACTTTCCCCTGGATCCTTTTGCTGCCCGTGCCATTCCCAGACCCAGCTCAGGTAATACCATTTCATTTCACACCACAGGTCTGCAATTACAACAGGCATGAGACTAATGGGAAACACCAAACCACACACACCAGTGATGCACGAGAAGAGAGGAGAGTAATTTAAATATTTCTCTCCACAAAATTGGTATAATTTAGCTCCACAAGCAGTCATAGACAGTAAACACTCTGTGATTATCCACTGGAGGAATGCTCTCCTGGGGAATTTTGCACACTGGGTTCCCTCATCCAAGGAACTSTTCTCCACTGATAGCTGAGGTATTGAAGAGGAAGAGGCTGGCTTCAAACCTAGCACTGGGCATCCAAAAAACAGCTGTAGTCTTATGGGGTGTCATCGAGGTGTTAACAACCCCTGAGTAACCAGGCACCTCCACACACWCTGCCAATCCTCCTTGACTCCTTAAAGTCACACTGAGCTGCTTCCTCTCTAGCAAATGCATCTCATGAAAACACAAAAATTCCCAGGGCTAGAACTTTGCATCTCTAAAAATGGGAAATCGGGAAGCAGGAGAGGCAACAGGGCCCACAGGGTGGATTTGGGAAGAATAAGAGGGTGGGAGAGGAYGGATGAACAACCACAGCAGCTGTGACACAGAGCAGTCCCCACCTGCACAATATGGGCTGTGGTGGCTTGGGAGAAGGTCACTTTGGGATATTCAGTGCTGAAGTGCCCCTGCAGCTCACTCTGGAGGGGAAGAGCTCCCCACAGAGCTYACAGTGAAGGTGCTCTGTGTCTGTGTGAAGTGCTGGCTGATGCCAGGGCTCTGCAGGGCCCCCAAAGAGTAGAAGGTCATGGAGCAGTACAAACAGCAGAAAAGCTGGGAATCTGTGGGAGAAGCACTGCCTGAGACTGGGCTGGGACAGCCAGGGCCAGCCGAGGGCAAAAGGGAACTGCAGTGGCCAGGATCCACAGGGCTGAAACCCAGCAGGGACTGGCATGTGCCAGTGACCCTTCTCCTGGCTGCACCACTGGCTRTCAAACAGTTTAAGGCTGCTTGAGTCCATTTTGGCTCCCTGCAGCACTGAAATTCAGAAGCCAGGCTGGTTTACCTGTAGCTGTGGCTGTCCCTGTTCACAGGAATCCTTTCTCCTGTTCCCTCCAGCACTGCTCCTTGCTGGCCTGGCTTGCACCTCCTGATCCAGCTATTGCAAAGTCATTACCCACCTCAGGGGTTCTCCACTTTCCAGGTGAAAGCTAGAGTTTGGGCTTTACATACAGGTCCTTGCTGTTCCTGCTCACTGACAGCTTTCCATGGTGGGCTCCCAGCAGCTTGYTTGCTGGAAGCCACCCTGCCATTGGTTTTGGAATAACCAAATCAGGAGCTACCACAGGAAGTGCAAAGAGATTTGCCTCCTCTTATGAATCCTGCTAAAGCAGCCAGGAACAGGAACAGCTTGATTACTTTTGGAGGTTTTTAAATTTGCAAGTAGCCCCACTTTTTCTTGATGAGCTATGTGGAAAACCAATTAGGGAAGAACTAATCAGAAAGTGGTTGTGCTCAGTGGGGCAGGAAAAATGAGCTGAGCTGTTTCTCACATATAACACTCACAGAACTGCGGGGAGGAGGAGAAGGAGGAGATTTCAGACTACTACTTTTCTATATTGTCCAAACTTCTGTCCAAACACCTCTGCTCCCACCAGCCCTACTTGAAGCATGAGCAAACTCTCTTCCACAGATGTCACATGCCAGCAGGGAGCTGCTTCTTCTTCTTCTTCTTCTTGGCCATTCCCACCATCCCATGGACCTTTGGCTGATGCTTCTCCAGCTCCTTCTTTGTTGATTTGAACTCTCTGCACTCTTTACACTGGAACTGTTTTCCTCCTACCACCTGACAGTGTTTCATGTGCAGTGCATGTTTCAGGTGGCAGTAGAAGTGGGAGACCTTATCACAGGCTTTGCAGGCAAAACTCTCCTTGGAAGAAGCTTTGTCTTGGGATTCTTTTGCATCTTTGTCACTGACACATCCTGCCTTGTCTTCATCTTTATCCAGAGCTTCAAGCTGGGATTTGCTGTTCATTTTCCACTTCCTGATCCCGGGTTTCTCCCCTCTTCCCTCAGTCAAGAGACCTATGGAAATAGCAATTACTGTTTTGGTGGTGACCAGTAGGACTGGGCACCTGCCCCTTAGTCCCCCATCTCCTGAATGCTCCTACATAGTTTTTCCTGCACAGAAGCAACATCAGACATGCTGTCCCATCACAATGGTRGCACATGGCTCTGCCCAGAAGTGGCTCTGGCCATGCATGGTTAGATGCATAAAGAACAATCCTTGAATTTCTCCACCACACATGCAAGGCTCTGCACGAGATGYCAAGAGCCAGGGCCAGATTTTCTTAAAAGCTTGTTTATCAAACTCTTGCTTCCAAGCATTTGCCTCCTGTTCAGACACATGAAGTTACAACCCTGCTTAAATGTTTGCAGAATTGAACCTCAGGTATGATACTGTCTAAATCTGCCACTGAGAGTGGATATCCAGCCTTTAATTACAAGAAATCTCAGAAATACTTCACAAATACAAACTCTTTGAAAGGGAACAGATAATCTTGCTATGACCCTTTTGAGTCTTCTGCTTTGGGCCCTGAGGTATTTTAAACTGCTCATTACGTTCATTTCTCACAAAGTGTAAATGCCTTCCCGAGCCCCTCTAACACCATGATCTCAAAAAGCACAAGCTGGAAAATTCACCCAGGATCTCAATCTACAGAAAARACCCACAGGGAATGAATGTATGGAAGAAATCAAAATACAAACAAATACATTTATCATCTTTGCTATAATGAGAACCTGGGTACTTTGTGGCCATGGAAACAAGGAAGGCTTCTCCTATGGCCAACATACAGGAAATTCAGCCTTGCAAAACTTCATCTCTGCCTCCCTCACTATGGGAAGAGCTCAGCACAGTGTCCCCTCACACAGCACTATTGCCCCTGGTTTCCAAACAACTAGAGACCAGATGACACATTCCAAAGGACTTGGAAAGCTTAAAATGCCAAGTGGTGACTGATAATCTGCGAACACATCAAGAGAGAACAGCAGAAGACTGGTTTCCAGTTTGTCCCATTCTGTCAAGGTCACCTTGACCTGTGACCTCTATGGTCTCTTTCCACATCCCTTCAACCAACGCTGTCAGTTTTTCTGACCCAAATGAACAAGGATTTTAAAATCTCCCAGTTAGATAATTGTCTTTTTATTAAATCACAAGACCATGGAGAGGAAAAGCCTTTTTTGTAGAGCTCTTGACAGACTTCTGAGATTTGAGAGTGAGACCAATCTCTACAAATATTATCTCCTAAGAAGTGACTGTAGAGAGCYCTGGAAAGCAGATGGCTAAAGAGGAGGTTGTGGAGAAGGCTGGAAGAGGCAAAGCCTGCCCTTGCATGCACCAGCTGCCAGCACTGACAGTGCTCTGACTACAGCAGGGTCCAAAGGAAAAGCCAAGAGATTCCATGTTGYACCTCCATCAAAGAAACCAATCCATTACTTACAGTGCTGAGCATGGTTGGGGATGGATGCAGTTTCTTCCACAGGCATGCTCTGCACCTTCCAAGTGTTTCAGTTCACCTAACTTAGTTACCAGAAAATTTTGAGGGTTTTTTTTTTTGTACTAGAGATGTAAAAATTTGTTTTCAAGTGGAAGTGCAAACTGATCACATCTCCATGCAACACATACATTCTCAGAAACATAAGGTCAGCTCAGTTTCAATAGGAAGCTCACACCCCTCAGACATGCAGTTATCACTCATATTTCATGCCAAAAGCCACGAGGTCCATAAAGTCACCTGCAATACTTGGGCCTGGTAAGCAGTGATGTCAGAGCTGAGTAGACTGGCCTTGAAATTAAGATATGGAAGTTCAGTGCAAAGTTCTGTAGGATGCCAGAAAGAGGCTGGTACCTGGCAATCCTCCTTTGTCCTGAATAGATGTTTTTTGCCAAGTAAATGGCACTTTCCAGGGCTTTTCTTTCTGATGTTGCTTCTTGCTTGATTTCCTCTCAACCTTGGCTTGAAGCCCTGCAAAGCCACTCAGTGGCAGCAGTCTGCTCTCTTTGATATCACAGCCAGAGAAGTGGCAGCTGCCAGAGCAGTCACACTGACTCCCCAGGCCCCTCTGCTACACATGGCAAGGTGTCCAGGAGCTCACATGGACTGCATATTCACAGGCACGTGGATTGTTGGCTCATCTGCTCCACAGCCATCAGGGCATCAACCCTGGCACACCCCACAGATGCACAGGGGGAGTGGGACAAGTGCCTGCAGTATCAGAAGTTGACAGAATGARTGGCAGATAAGAAAGAGCCATTCTTTCTCTGGAAATCAAAGCCATGACTAGGTGAAAATGCCAGCTGGATTGGTGGTGGCTCTTATTGCAGTTAGAAGGGAGGATGTAGATCTGAACTGGGCAGGAATATTGGATCTGCAGTATAGGACATCTCTCAGGAGGCCACTGAGGCAAGGAAGGGGAGTAGAACAGATGTTGTCACCCTCCAAGCCCTACAGCTACAGCAGTCATTGAGAGCCTCAGTTTCTTCCACCTGTGCCCTGCTCCCATTCCACACTGTCACCTTCCACTCCAGCAGCATATCCTCACTGCCCARGACAGTGGCAGGCCAATGATCCCAAGATGCAGAGGGTGATTGCCCTCAGTGTATGGGGGACAAACTATGGCTGTCTGTGCCAAACACAAAATGATGGCAAGTGTCAAAGCCACGAGGCTTGTGTTCTTTCATAAAGACTGATGACTTTGACCCAGATTTTCAGACAAAGTAATTAAATCTTCAATTCCTAAAAAAACCTGACACATTAACAGCAAACTGCTTTTTACTCTAACTCYTCAGCAATCTAAMRACATTTCCACACTGCTTGTCAGCTAARCAGYTCTGGCACCACAAGAAAATAGGAATGGRTTGAGCATGTATTTGGATAAAAACYACCCTGTGCCCATCCCAGTGGACTCAGCAGTCCAAAGAAKCTGGATACACTGGGAAACAGATGAAAATGTATGCAAACAAACAGAATAAGCAAGCCACATTTGCATCCTTTCTGGGAGAATACACACCTGCAGTTACCTTYCTGACCCTCTGATATCCTTGTCATTAAAGCACCAAATTCAGTTAAGCATTTTTTCTTCAAATGATGGATGCAAAGATACAATTGGGCTCAGCTGGAAAGCCTCCCCACAGCTCAGGGCAGGACTCACACGTGGTTGTTGCTCTGYATTTGTTCTGGAGTTCACAAATTGATATCTGCATGTGTTTTGTCCACAATTTTGCCAAACTAGTATAGCATGTAACGTTGTCCTACTGCTGAGGAACTCTCACAGGGGAGTATTTATCTATAAAGTGCATACAGAGCAAGGCCAAATTAAAGCATTCTATGAAAATTAACTCAGAAAATTGCTCTGGGACTACAAACTGCACCATCATGGTCATCTTTGCACAAGAGGAGTGGACTTCATCATGACCTTTCTGCAGCCTGTGAAAAATCCAAACATACACATAGGAAGTCAAGGGAATGTAAGTCCAAATTCATGCAGATACAAAAGCACAGGAAGAGCCAATGAAACCCCACAGGTTAAGGATAATTGTGAAAAATAATCCAATACAGATATACATTACTGAACTAAGCTGCTTAAATGCCTCCAGAGCAATGGCTGGGGTGGAGAAATGCAAAMACAGTTAAGGAACACCAGTATGGAGTAAGTTCTGGGCTCCACAACTCTCGTAACACTAAACTTTAACAGAGTTCATGTTGCCAGCAGGAGAAACACACACTGCAGTGCCTGGATCCAGAGATCACTCCTGYAAAACCTCCTGCAAGTACTACCCCAACATCTGGCCAGAGGCAGCTGTGTGAAATGGCCTGAGGCCACCAGGACACTTGGTTCACCACCTTGCTGCCTAGACCYCATGTGTAAAACCCCACTGAAGGGTTATACCTGTGCTTTACCCTTCTCTTACCCACATGGCCCAGCCACAGTTATACTTTTGTGGGAGAAATTAAACCCAAAACCTGTAGTTCATCCCAGACATCAGTGCATGATTTTTGTGCTTGTGTCTTTTAATCATTCTGGTTCAGTACCAACCAGAACAGTCCAYTATACTCACAGCACTGCCTGGGAAATAAAGCAGCTAAGCACAGCTTGGGAAAAAAAAAAAGGTAAAATCTCTTGGACCCAGAAAATATACAGTGCTGTGTAAGAAGAGAAAACTCTCTGGGATKGGGAAGGAAGAAATAGCAGGCTGGRAGAATATYCAGTGGAWGATTCTGAGCTKCTATGAACAGCTCCCTRAACAAAAAGACTTCTTGGAGATGTGAATCTCATCCCCAGCAAAGCCCAAGGAAATTCATAGAGGAAATATTTTCCTTCTCCCATGGGAATGTTTCTGATTTTATGAGACAAACTTGAGTTGTTATGAATGCACTCTGCTCTGCTGCCATGCCAAGGTGAGCCCCAGAACCAGCACATGCCCATTGCAGGACCTCCTGCTCCCTGTCAGCTGGACAGCATGGGACACCAAAGATACCACCAGTTAATCCATCAGCTGCTGGCAAAMCCAAATCATCCCCTCCCTCTTCATCTTCATTATAAGAAATATTTTAACTTCTGTTTGTTCAAGCTGCAATTTAAGGAAACTCAGCTCTGTGTAATTAAGGGATGCTCCTCCTTGGAATGGGTATTACCAYGAGATAATTAACCATGCTGGGAGTCTGGTGTTTCAAGAAAGCAATCGTGCTTAACAAATGACAAAACCAAGTGTCTGTCGGGAATGTTTGCTACAGAGGAAATTATCAGCAYTATGAGCACAGTTTTGCTTTCTATTAAACACTCATTTACATTTCACTGCATGTTAATTTAGTTTTAAATTTTATGTGACTTCAGAGTCTCTTGATCTGAATTGCTCAGGGAGTGCCTAAACCCACCCAAACTTGAAAGATTGCCCCACCAGGCAAAAAAATGGGGGCTCCTGAGTCCCTGAACCACTACAGRCAGCCAGCAGACAATAAAATCCCAACAAAACAAACAGGAAGAGGGGCCTGGCCATCCAATAGAATGATGTGTAATGGGAACGTAAGTGTAGGATTCCTATCAGCATATTCTGTTCCACACAGGAAACAATGAGTCAGTGACCAACATGAGCAGAAATGCTACCTGAATCAAGGAAAGCAGCACAGCCCAAATAAATTTTCCCCCCATCTCCCTGAATCACAAGGAATTCCAAGTAAGACACTGTATTTAATGTCAAGATATCTCCAGCTTAGGGGTATTTTTAGTTATTTGCTTTCAGAGGTAGTCAGTACCACACAGTAAAGTCACCAATGGAAGTTTAGTTTACTCATACCTTTATTACCAGAGATGTTTTCTGTTGCCACCAAGCTGTCCAGCAGAAGCTGGATTCCAGGGAAGGATGCTTTCACAGCCCCCAGAAGTTTGACCAAGCTTTTCACTTTCAGGATTTTCTCTACACCCACCTTCCTGAGCAGATTGTCCATGGCTTTTCCCCCTGAGAGCTGCCTTCACAGCAATCCAAAACTACCTGTAGCAAAGAAACAACCACAAAACTGTCTGTGAGAGCTTCCTACAAACTCTTGGATCTGAACAGAGGTCAGAAAAACAGGAACAGTATCACAATACTGCACTAGATCCCCATAAACTGTTTACACAGTTTAACTGGGAGGTGCTATGGGGTGGTAATTACAGAAACACCCAAACATGGCCAAGGTGTAACAGATGTGTCCCCTTCAAAACCAGCCTGGTGGGTTTTTCCAAGTCCAGCTCTTGGAAGTGGCTAAGCAAAAACYACTTTTTTAAAGGAGACAAAAGTAGACTTAAAGAGAGTGTTCAAAACAATGTTTCATTTAATATTTTTAGTGAATACTTTTAAAACTGACAGTCTTGTCTCCCTTGTCTCGCCAATGTCTCTGCTTGACATCAAAAAACAGATGACCAGAAAAAAAAATATTATTTAAATAAGCATCTATTTACTGAATTATGATTATTTCTGTGACAAGGCCACATGAGACATCTCTTATGTGATATGCAACCACTGGAAAAGCTCTAGGATGCTGTAAAATACCTACAAGGGAGAGGCAGCAGGCAAATACAGGCTGACCTCCCTTCCACCAATGCTGTGCTCCTGAGCAGAACCTCTGCAGGGCACCAGCCCAGTTCCCTGCTGACCATAAKCACTACACTACACAGTCCCATCAATAAAATTATTAAGATCTGTCCTAAAACTAGTCACATTTTTACTCTCTTTCCCCAGGTTGGAAAGCTCTTCCACAGTCCCATTCCCCTGCTGATTCTTCTAATTTTCAGCTGAAATTTATTCATGGCCAGTGTATGCCTATTTGTTCATGTGCCAACATTATCTTCTAGCTTAAAAGCYTTCTAAACTCTCTGAGGTGTTTACCCCACCCTTCCTATCCAATTTTGTTATAAGAGCATGATCATATTCCCTCTCAATCTTCATTTCCCTTGTCTAAATAAGGCAGCTCCTCTTATAAAACAGCTTCTACACTCCCCTGGACTTTGCACGGCAGATCTGTCAAGTTCCAATTAGAATTCACCTTTTTTGTACCAGACTGAAATGGAAATTTCAGATGAGGTCTTAATTCTTAGTTCTCATCACTGCACCCAATGCACACTCTTCACTTTATACCCCCACATCAGTCAGTTCTCACTACTCAGCTCTCCAACTATGGAATTCATATGGAATCATAGAATCATTAAGGTTGGAAAAGYCTTCTAAGATCAYCAGGATCACCCATCAACCAGCACCACACCATGTTCAAGTGCCACATCCACACATCTCTTAAATCCATCCAGGGATGGTGACTCTCCCACTGTTTTGGGCAGCCTATGCCAATGTTTCATAACCTTCACAGTGAAGAATTTTTCCTAATATCTAATTTAAACCTCTTGTGGCACRACTTGAGGCCGTTTCATTTTGTCCTATTAATTGTTATATGGGAGAAAAAATCAACTCCCACCTGGGTCCAACCTCCTTTCAGGGAGTGAGCATCCCTGGGGAATGTCACCGACTACAGACCACCAGCTGGATTCCATTCCACTGCTCAGAATCATCTGCCATTCAGCAGTTCCTGATCCACCTCACTGTGCATTCATCTAACCCACATTACCTGAGCATACCTACAAGGATRTTGTGGAAGAGTGTCAAAAGCCTTGATGAATTTGAGGCAGACACCACGCACTGCTCTCCTCTCGTCGACCCATCCTGCTGTGCCATCATAGAAGGCTTTCAGAWTGGTCCTAATTGATTATTGAGGGATGTCATTTGAGCTCTGATTTTCCTTCTGCTGCAGGAAATTTCTATTTCTGTGTTTCTCCTGCACCAGGCTCCAGGCTCAGCCATGAATTTGCAGGTCATCTCCTCGCCTTATTCTTTTGCTTGGTCAGACAGTATCTGCCATGATGCCCAGCAGCCTGATGTGCCACAAGCCTCTCCATAGTTCTGCAGTATGTTTCTTGGCCTGTCGGACATTTCAGCCATTCCCTGAATGTCCTAACACTCTCCCAYAAGTTATTCACTCACTCAGGCCCGTAACCTCTCATAAAAGTTCTTCTCTCTCACTCAGGATGCAAACTTCAGACAGTTCTCCTGCCTTTAACATAAAAGAAACTAATCCAACAGCTCCTCCTGCGCTCTAATGAGCACCTGAACTCCTTAATTAGTTTCTCTCATTTCTAAAGATCTGTCCTTTTATAGTCCAAATTCTGTTGTGAACCTGCTGATGTATTCTCCCATTCAATTCACACCAAGCTGCCTCTGGATCCCTTAGTCTGAAATCCTTTTCTGAGAGAACACAAAAAGAGGTACAAGAGYAGAATCCTTTGGGGAGCTCCCACTGTAACCCACCACTGCTCCCAGGCAGAAGTGATTTCCCTGGCAGCAGGAGATGCAGTGATAACATTTTGAGACTTAGACAACTCCAGGTGAGAGTCAGAAAACTTAAAAAGTTAGAATGTGCCCATTCTGCTTGTAGCAGGATTTCTCCATCCCCCGTGCACACAGTTGAGATTCCTCCTGCAGTGGCCAGCAACCTGCTTGTGCTGTCCCTGATACCTGTCTGAGCCCTGAAGCTGCTTGGTTTGAGCACCAAGGTGTGCAGGCACTGGAGTCAAAGGGGAGAGAAATCACACAGCTCAAAATACCCAGGTGCCTTTCAGAAGAGAGCCTGAACAGAAGGAAAGGGCTGATGTTTCTACCACCTACTCTGATTTTTTGGATTCAGGGCTGTATTGTGGACTGGTCACTCTGAACTCTGCAACAACCTAAGCCATCTGAGATATCACACATGAAAGGTTAACCCCTCTTCCTTTGTATCAACTTTATTTCTTTGAAATCATAATCTGTATCCAAATCCTCCACCCCACCTCTCCAATTACAGAAACACCAAAAAAGCCACGGACGTTAGGCATTCAAAAAAGAGAAAGGCTAGGTTCAAAAGTTACCCAGAAAAAACASAGATTTACAAAGAGGCTTCACAAAACATCATGTACTGGTTTTCCAGCAAAGAAAATCAAACTTGCTYCATGCACAGCTTGGAGAAAGAAAGAATTCAGCTGCAGAGAATAAAGGCTGTTACATGAGAAGCTCACACTTGTCTTGCTGAATAAATTCGTAGCTAATGAAGCAGTGACAGTGAGAAGAAAAAGGAAAGCCTCATCTTCATGGAGCCCCATCTCCTTGGAAAACTAGATCCCATCCCTGCCAACCCAGAGCTCCAGTGCAACACTAGATAAACCAGGTAAGGTGAAACCTTCAGAGGTGGCTGCAAACTCCATGTTTGTTTTCCCAGTCCTACATCTGAGACAGCAGAGATCCCACCTGCACACATGCCATGGGCCCACCGTTTTCCTCAGTTTAACTTCTGGAATAATTAAACACATTCTCACTTATCTGAGGGAGAGGGGATGGAATTAAACAAATAAAGCCCCCAAAGGACAGTCTACACTTGGCAATTTCTGCCTTGTTATCTTGTGCCACAAGCAGTAGAGCTCTGTCCCAGCCTCACCAGAGTGCTCCCCAAATAGATGTCATTTGATGGGAAACTGTAGGCTGAAACAAGAGCACAAAGGGATCCCATAGAGAGGAGTAGAATTTGGTATTCAGAGCAGGGTTTGGAGGCTCTGTAGCAAATGGAGCACACAGACACTGATGAGGATGAAAAGAAACACTGTTCCTCCACCACACAAGGCAGGAGCCCTGCAGTAGATGATGATGCAATTGCAGGCTGTATCCTGTGCCCAAGGAGCAGAATTATGATGGCAGAAGTGTTTTCATTTATTATTGGGGGCTGTGTTTGTTTTTCTCAATGTGAAGGGGGATAAAAAATTGCAGAATTTTAACCAACTAATTCCACAAAGACAAAGAGAAGAGTGCAGGAAAAATATGAAGCCTTTAAAAGAAAGGCTACACTGTACCATAAACAGGCACACATGAAATTTCTAATCTCCCCACTGCTGATGAGGCTTCCAYGGCTTGGAAGCCAGCTCCAGGTGCCCCAAGTGGGTCTCTGCTGACAGCCACAATGTCTCCCCAGCACATGCCAAATCCTTTGCAGTACTCACCCTGCTCTCTCCTCTCACATCTCCATCCYAGGCTCAGCTACATGCTTTTGGAGGCAAAAATTCATCAGACACCACTCACACTCCAGTCACACCCCAGCCCAGGACAGGACAGATGCCTCTGTAAGCAACACCTTTCTGGGTCTCCTGTTCCAATCTGTGCCTGTGCTCAGGGATGCTCCATGCTGGATGTGCTRAGGGACCATGAGACCTTAATTGAGGGGCTTATGAGCCAGGCAGAAGTTCTCAGCCCACCTGTCRTGGCCCTGGTCAGGCTCACTCAGACAGAAAGAAGAGATCATTCATGCCACTGAGCACAACCTTCCACTCTCTATAATCCTGTGTCAGGGGAGCTCAATGATGTGACAAACTAGGACAGCAGGTCTCAAGCTGCATGCTGATCACAGCATTTGWGGGCACCCTGTAAGTTCCAGCTGCACAGGGTACAGCCAGCTCCCCTCAAAGATAAAGGAACGCACGTTATACACGGTATTTTGTCCTTTATGGCTTCTGCAAATCAGCAGTCAGAGTGCAATTGCTTACAGGAAAGGAAAGGCAACAGTCCTCCCAACCAACTGCTGCCTTCAACACATATAAAATAAAACCAAATCAGTTAGTGGATGTGCTGTGCTAGCCTTGTGTGGTAAGAGTTACAAAAAAAGTCATAAAGTTTGGGAGACAGCKGAAAAGGAAGCTGATGACCAGGAACTAAGAAGCAGGTAGCAGAGAAGTTGTTAGTGGCTCTGCTCAAACTCCCATACAGAGCCTTGTCCTTGTTCCCAAAAAGGCTTTTTCAGGGTGTGAGGAGTACCAGGCACCTCCTCTACACCAGGCTCCACTTGCACTGACACTCATCCTGGCCTCAAGATTGCCTTCACTGCTCAGTTTTCACCATGCCCACAGCCCAGTACAGAAGGACCTGAGACCACACACAGGTGCAGTCCATGCTGTAGAGAAGGCACAACAAAAAGGTGAAAGTGCTGGCTGAGGCTCGCCCATCACCTGGCAAAACCTGTGCACGACGCTGCAGACACACACCTCGTTCACACAGTTTGCCTTATTTCAGATTTTTTTTTACCCACTTCTCTGAGGCGGTCAGGAATCCCTCTCTTCATGCCTCCAAGGACTCTGTAACAAAACTCAGCTGTGTCACACTCTGGATCAGCTCCTCCCTGCAGCACAGCAAGCCAGCGGTCAGCGTCTCTTCTTCGGCTATGCTCTCTGAGGGGGAAAAGATTCAGAAACACAAGAGAAGAAACAAGTCAGTCTGAAGGAACTGACAGGTTCCTGAAGCGAGGGAGACTCTCTGAAAGATCTAAGTGAATAGCAAAATTCATCCCAAGCACAAGGAGCGGAGGAAAATCACTTTGCTATTCTCTTTAAACTCTATGAAAGGAAAATGTCTCATTTATCTAACAGAGCACAAAGCCATAAAGCAAGCTGGAGGTTAACACCAGGTTTGCAAGGCCACTGCTTTGTGTCAGACTCGAGTAAAAAAGAAGTTTTCAATCCCAAGGCTCATCTGTGCTCTGACCCGTGCTGGCTGCCAGCCATTGATCCAGCCCTCCAGGCTGCAATGGGAGAGCCCTGCACAGCTACACCCCCATTTTGCAGGCAGAAATGCTCCAGAATCTTGGTCAGCACATGATAAACCTCCCACATCCAAGGATACAGAGTTTCTCTGCTTTTCCTATAAGGTTGCCCACTCACTTTGCCACAGGTTGCACCCAATTTCCTACCTGATTGTTGTGGGGCTTCTCTGCTGTCTTGTTCCCTCTCCAGGAAAGCTGCTCTCAGCTCAGGAYTCGTGTTTTGAAACAGATTTGGAAAAGACATGAGGCCCTGAGTGTCCAAGTGTCACTATCCTGGGWGTGAACTTCCTGGGGCCAAGCATCCTTCACTTTGCCCAGCAAAACACTGACTGTTCCTCTGCCTTGACYTAGATAAGCAGCCAGAGTCTACAGCAGAACAGAAATGCAGGAAAATCTGGATAACAGTCAACTGCCCTGTGCAGACAGACACAACAAGCAGAATCCTGGGGGTTCGGTCAGGGCACAAAAAATTAAACAGAACAAAAAAATAACTACAAAGACACACCACTGAACCCAAGCTCTGGCCTGTGGCCACCATCCCTGGGAAGGAGGGCAGCAAGCCCTGCTGCCAGCCCTCATCCATACAGCAGATCTCACAAAGTGGAGCTRGTTCCAGCACCAAACATTTCTTCATGTCCAAATAGCCAAAGACCAGTAAGTGAAAAAAGACCTGATAAAACATGAATTAAACACTGCTACTTTGGAAGCCAATGCTTGGGCAAAGGATACTGGATCTCACTGCAGCACAAGGAGAGATCAGTTGCACAGAAAGCAGAGAGAATTTCAAGTGGAACTTTCARTAATCTCCATTCTCAATCACCATGGAGCTCTGTCTCCTAGAGAAAGCTCTGGAGAGGAGGCACATAAACTCTTGGGTGCCATGGGCTCTCAGAACACCTGGCAATCAAACCAAGAGCTCCAAAATTTACTTCAGTGACCTGAAACAACAATCAGAAGCAAACATGCCTGTACAGTTATGGAAATAAAAGGCAAAGAAATAAGCTGGAACTCTTGCTCCCATTTCCCCAGAGTCCTTTAATGCTGTAAATATTGCCCCTGAAGATACACGCTGCCCAGCACTCCAGGAGAGATGCCAGTCTTTCAGAGCAGGCAGCCTTTATTGGAGACTCCAGGGATGCTATAAAGGTACCTTTGAAGTGGGAAGTTCAGCTCCGCTCCAGGGAGAACGGCCATTTTCTGCTGTCATTGTCATTTTTATTCTGATGATAAAAAGACTGAATGCAACTGCTTAGGGCTGCACCAGGGGCCGGTGCACTGGCTTTTCCTAGCAGATGTAAATGCTCACACATTAGGGCAGCGTGGCAGTGCAATGACCTATTGCAACAACTCCGCAGAGGGGAAACTGCAGCAGTCCCAGCTCTTCCCACTGATGGCAGTTTGCCTGCTGAAGAGTGTGGAAGGGCTCTGGTGTAAAGAAAAGCACAGATGCACCAAAGAGCAAACTTTAAGGCGCCTTTTTAAGGCAAACATTAATCTGTAATGAGACTTGATAACCAGATCATGTTTGTTCTCAAGGTTTGCATGCCTGGCCCCTTCCAGATCAAAATGAGCATGTAAAACACAAAATATCTCCACTCTCACCATGCTAAATATGCTCAGATCCTGCCAAATCCATTTTTGCACTAATATGGATGAAAAATAACTTGCATTGTTGAATGTAATTTTTAATTTTGGGAGTTTTTAATTAAAATCAGCACAGCATTGCTACCCGGAGCCCCAGATAACATCCTTTCCTCAGTGCATGGATTTAGTTRATAGAAATGAGTTTTCAGTAACTGAAATGTTCTGCTATTTATAAGCTCTTTCTGGAAGACCTTTCCTTGGACATGTTGCTCAGAGAGAACAACAGTCTTTTAGCATTGTTGTGAAAGCTCACAGAGTACATTTCAGGCTTACTTCAAAGCACTAACAATTCCCAAAGATCCTGGGAAAAATGGAGAAATACTGGTATAAGCTGGAATCCCAGTTTCCAGCCATCATAATGTGCCCCCACATTACAGCCTGATCCACTAGGCTTTCACTGCCCGGGACACTGCAAAATCCTTCATGGCCAAGTTGGCATAAATTAGCACATATCCAGCTTCCTGGTGGGAGGAAGAGACTGCCTCTCTGCACAGGTAAACTGCATCATGAAGACCTGGCTTAAGCTTGGTCAAAGCTGTGCCACCAACAGRTTCCATAGCATCTGAAAAATTTGGTCCCAGTTGAGGATGTCAGTTCTGATGACAACATTTCCACCTCAGCACTGGGGAACACATCACACACCATGGAACAGCCCTGCTAGCTCATCTCAAACCTCTCCATGTCCATAGCAGCCCCCAGGCAAAYTCTGAACAGGAATCTCTGCAGGTGAGGACCCAGGAGGTAGGTCTCCTGTCTTCAGATCATCTCCACATCTTCCATATTTTTCCAGGGAGGACCTCAAACGGAGGGGCAAGTAATGTACATCCCCTCGAGCAATGTGCAGTGCCCAGAAGTGAGACTAAAGAGGGATGTGAGGAGAGAGGGAGGGCACACAGGGCAGTCATAAGCCCAGCTGGCCATTACCTCTTTCCTGCAGGATGAGCACAGTTATGGCTTTTCATGCCTTATCCATGCTCCTGCCCCCACCATGACAGCACATCCCAGCAAAGGCTACTTCAGAGACTATTTCTGACTGATCTCCTTCAAGCATCAGCTTTAGAGCAAATGCAAGCATCCAGAGGGWGGTGCAGAGGGATCTGTAAGAAACAGGTTGGGAAGCACCTGCTCAGGGTGACATAAGAAGCTGATTCCCTTCAGACCTGAGGGACATTCAGGCACATCACAGGAGGCTGGGCACTGTGGGGAAACTTCCACAGCCATCATCAGTCCTCTGTAAATGCACRCTGCTTTGGGTTTTACACTAGTTAATTTTGGATGTATAGATGGTGTAGAAAATATAAAAAAGCTGTTTCACTGCTGGCTTTTCCATGGCTCTGTGGCTTCCAACCTTTAGAGCAGAACAGCAGGGYTGGTCTGTAGGCTGCTCACAGCATCAGTGGCATGGACAGCCCCAGGACTGGCTCCACACACCTCACCCTCAGAGAAGTTCCCTGGCTGTGACCCCACCATGAAGCCAATCAACTATCACTGTGCATACAATAATCGGAGGGAAAACTATGTTCCGATTTTTCCTTCAGAAAACTGAAGTGCTTTTTTTTTTCAACACTGCATCTGTACATGGCTCATGAGGGAGACCCCAGGAAGGCTCCGTAGAAAACATTGACCTGCTGCATACTCCACATATGAAGAACAAAAGCTCAGCCCAAACTTCTACAAAAATACATCAGAAGAGAGGAAAAACAAGTTCTCTAGCTCTGTCACCATGAAACAAAAAAAACCAAAAACCAAACCTTCACAAGCTCTCTCTCCTAATCAGGATGCAGAAGGTAACAGGAAACTTCTTTCTTCTGCCTCATCCAGAAATCCCTACAGTTGCAAATGAAGGGCGACAATGACTGGAAAGGTGCACAGGCAATGGAAATGATCCACAAGCATAGTGACATTTATTCTATGTGGGAGAATCAACRCTCCCCCACTTCATCTGAACCCAGTAGTAGAGGGAAGAAATGAGCTGTGCAATAATTTGAATTGAGTTTCCCTAAAAGAGCACAGGAAGATAAGACTTGACACCAGCAAAGCTCTTCTACACTTCTCTAAATTACTGCAATTTCAGTCTTGTTCCCGTTTACAAGCAGSTTTCATCCAAGCCAAAACCAAATTAGATAGGAACAGTTTATGTGAAACACAGAGAAACTATAAAACAGAAACAACCCCAAAAATCACATCTCCCTAAACTAAAAAGCAATTCATCTGCATTTTTCAGTCTGGGGAACAGAATGGAACATCAGACTCAGAGAAAATAGTTCACATAAAAGCCAGCCCAGCACCACAAACTTTGTTGGGGAAAAGCCCCACAACCAAATGAGTCTCCACTGAAGGTAGAAGGAAATAGGCAAGAACAGCAGAGGGGAGCAGACAGGAGTGCTGCAGGGAGCAAAACAACATTAAGGATGAGTTCACCAGCAAAGGAAGAGAAACAGAGAGGCATCCAAGGCAAATTCCACTGAAATCAGAGGAGCCTGAACACCCGGATAGCCTTGGTGCCTATCAGCAGGCTGGCAAAACACCCMTGAACCCCTACGCTGCCCACCTTTTACTGGCCAAAACACATCAGTGTTTGCCAAGAGAGATCAGCCACTTCCAAAAGGCTCCCAAGAGGACACTCCTGAGGAATGGGAGATCTCCCCTACAGCAGGGTAAGCTCACCCAGCAAGAATGCTTTCTGCAAAGAAACAGCATCGCACCCGTTTCCAGACACACCTTTACTTGCCCCGAGGCACCAGAGACTTCAAGCAAATGACTTGCAAAAGAATACAGAGAAAGTGAAGGGCGAAAAAAGTAGAGAAAAAAAATCCATTGACATCCACCACTGGCACAACTTCAGCCTGAATTACACATCTGATTTCAGCTCTTTGGAGCTGAACTTGCACTTCAAGCATGACTTTAAAAATACACCACTGTGTTTCCACCCCCCAGGAAAACACTAAGCCCTTGAGGGAAAAAGCTGCTCTGTGTTTTAGGAAACAGACCTAGTGTTGGTGTCCACAGGTCCTGCTGGTCCCAGAGAGGAGCTCAGAGAGTGACAGATCTGGCTGAGCCCTTGCTTATAACAGACTGCAGCCTGTTCTCTCACTGCCCTGGGGCTGACACTTTTCATGCTTGTCACAGCTGAGAAGTGATTTTTCAGGAAAGCTTAAAGAAAATCCATTTCTCATTTATTCAGCATTTATTTATAGCTGCAGAAAAATTGTCCAGCTACCACTATGCGGTCAGACACCCAAACTGGCTCTGAGCTCCACAACCTCTCACTTGGCTTCTGCTATAACAGCTCATTTGGGAGCACAAAGGGCCAGGAATGGATCTGTAAACCTTTCCTGCTGGGTCTGAAGTGCTGAAGGAACATGAAAGAGCAGTGGCTGCAAAGCAATTGCAAATGGGGCCGCTGTGCAGCGCAAAAGCTGCAGCTCACCTGCAATAGCAAACGGGGCTGCTGTGCAGTGCAAAAGCTGCAGCTCACCTGCCTGGGCACTCCACTGGCACAGCTCTGCCCTGCCACCAGCAGTAAGGGATGACAGGAGCAGGTAGAGAGCCTGCTGGCATAGGGGCATGGAGCTGCCAAATCCCTTCTGGCCACACCCATCCACACAGAACCCACCCCAACTTGTCTCCATTTGTAAAGGTGGACAGCAGATAAAACCCTAAACCTGACATATTTATCTGACCATGGTGAAAAACCAATATACAAAAACCTACCCCTTCACTAAGCAGGGCACTCAGAGGTGTTTGTCACCCAGCCAGGCTTGTGCTTGCTGCTGCAACATGAATTAGGACCTGCACCTCTCTCCTAAAGCCCCCAAGATGTTATATTTCACACCATCAAGAGAATCGGCAGCTAAGGGAACACAAGCCTCYCTCCATGAACATTTAATGGGTCAGCATAAAACAATCCTACACTCACCAATTCAAGGAAATTCTCCTCCCTGCTGTAACAGATTTTGTTTCTTTCTAATAAAGATGTGGTCTTGGGCTTTTATAAGCAGAATGCTACAATGGYTTAAATGTCCCATGTCCTGGAATCACACTGCTACTGGAGGGATTTGCATCCAGACCACCAAGCACACAGGAACCTAGAGAGCATGGCAGCCCCCAGCCTACAGAACAGCTTCCAAAGGTCAGATAACCAGGGAACCAAGGAAGAGCCAGCAGTGAAAAGCAATATTTTTTCCCCTGAACTGGCATGCAGGCCAGTTCACGCCGCCTGGTATGAAAAATGCTCTACCAGAAATGGCTAGGCTGAGGACAGCAAGCAGAGGCTCATCCTTGCTCCACATTAGCCATGCTTTTCTCTAGACCCTGCCACTGCACAGCAGCATGCAGCCAGGACAAGTGCCCACTGGAGTTGCCACAATCATTCCCAAGCTCTGCATCCTCCTGCTCCACTGTCACACCAGTGTGGACATCACATGCTGTTTCTGTGTTGGCTTTGAGCTGGGACAAGGGCTGGCATCTGGTCACCACTGCTCAGAGCCCAGAGAACCAACCCTTSAGCATACAGCCAACAGCAGACTCAGTTACCCTTCTAACAGGAACTGAGCATCATTCAGCAGCTACATCTGCTCTTAAAGCAGCACATTGGCAGGAGAACACCATGGGGCAGCACCAGCTCCCCCTGCCACCCCCTGTCCTACTCCTCCCTCAGCAGCTCTGCCATTCACAGAGAGCAGCAGATGCTCCAMAGCAAGACAGTGATGAGGGCTCAGGAAATCTATTTCAGGATCTCATATGTCAGTCGTTTACAAGTCGATAGAGTTCCTGAAGCAAATGCAATAAACAGGAGGAGAGAAATCTGTGCTGGARCTCTCCCACAACACAAGAATGTCTYCAGGGCTGGACGTACTTCTTTACCTGCATGCATGAGCAGCTTGCACTCACAGATGCTTCTTTCCAGGGTGTTGCTCAGGTGAGCACATGTTGCCCTTCAAACAAACAGGCACCAGTTTCCCATGAAACATTTTCCTAAACAAGGCACAAACTAYTGAAGCCCTTAGCAGGATGAGGAAAAAACTTGCATCATTTATGGAATAAACATACCTACCTCCTTTTGAGAGGCATCAATTTCTCTGCMCTCTTCAAGTCTTTTCAGCACAGCCTGAGCATCAGAAAGAGCCTTGGAGAAAACACTTTCATACTGAACAAAGAAATCCAGTTTACAGCTTTTGCTCTCTGCTGCTGTGCGAGAGAAACAAGATGAGTTMTTTGCTAATTGAAGGGATTTGCAGAAAGCACGATGTGATTGAAAGGCATCAGCTTGTAACCAGCACATTGGCTATAATAGGAAAACTGTGACTTATAAATCCCTYCTGAAGACATCACACAGCCTGGAGGGAAAACCAACAGTTTATTTAACACCAGTTATAAATGGAACATTTATTTTAAATCCAGTACAGCCTTTGTCTTCCTCCCATGCTGAACAGGAGTTTAAAGCATAAGGTAGCATTAGTAAGCAACTCTGTCCACTTGCTGTTAGACAGACTGTCTAATCAGCCCCATGTCCTGCACTAAGACAGATCCCACTGCATGGCAGATGTAATCACATGCCTGGACAAAAAAAGTTTTGCTCACCACAGCTCTGGCAATRAGCACGAGGCAACTACAAAAGCCAAAGGAAGAAAATCCCTGCAGAACAGGGGGATGCACTGGTGTTGCTCCCAACCCAGGGCAAACCAAAAAGATCAAAATACCCCAAAGCAGAGAAGCTTGAGTCAATGTGTTGCAAATAAGAGGCAATACTGTGCTCAGACCTAGGAAGTCTCCCCTAAATCCCTCAATCACCCTTTCCCCTCTGGAGCCTCAGCAAGTTCCTCTTCCATACAGCCACTCAGCATGCCCAGGTTGGTCAGAGCCAGAGCCTCAATCCTCCTGGAGGGACCTGGAGTCACTCAACATCACATCCTGGTGAACCCAGGTACAATTCACAGTAAGCTCCTGGCCAGGAGGAGAAACACCAGCTTCCATTTCTGCTTCTACAGGGCCAGGCAAAGGAGGAACTCTTTGAGTGAGGATGATAAATGCTTTTCCTTCATCAGGTTTTCCAGGCCAGGGCAGGTAATTAGCTTCAGCTTGGTTTCCAGATGAATCTGCTTCCTCGCTGGAGACTCCTYTCACTAGCTGGTCCTGAACAGAACAGTTTATGAGATCCCTGAGGAGGTTTTTGCAACTAACAGCCACATTAAACATCTGAAGACTATCTGCCWCAGAGATAACTTCGGTAAAATTGTGTTTCCCCAGTGGGAGTTTACCACTATACATCATCTGAAGTAAGAGTGCAAACTCCTCAGATGACACCACAGAAGCATTGATGGAGATGGTGTCTGTGCTATCCAACAGGGATTTAAACAGCAGGCTGGCCACAGCCAAAACCACCTTGTGTGCTCCAAAACACATGTTCCCAATGAAGATGGTGCAGTCACAGAAATGCTGCTTCTTGCAGAGAGAGTACAGCTGCTGGCTCTAACTGGGAAGCTCCACGGTACCTCCCAGCCTCCTCTTGCCTTGGTCTCCACACTCCTTTCACAAAGCCCAGRTAATGAAAAGGAAATGGACACTGGTAGCATTTCTCTGTACAAAACAGAAAGAAAGAGTAAGAAAAATTACTTCTCAGTTTTACACATTCTAGTAGTTTACTGTGCTTCAGTTCTTTGTTTACAGCAAGACCCTCATTCTGAACTCACACTCCCCAAATCCAGCAACTTACTGTGAGACCTGAAGAGTCTAGAGAGTGTTAAAACCTAAATGGGCAGATTTGGACTGAGTACGGTATCCCAGGAGCTATAACAAGGGAGTGGAGCCTCCTTGATGCACCATACATCTCACAGGGATGTGAGTGCCCATCAGATCAGGCACTGGAGCGCCAGGCTTGTAGCCAGGGGCTGGAGCTGATACTGAAGTCAGCAGCTGGTTTCTGAAGGGGGAGGTAGGGAAGCAGGGCAGGAAGACCTGCTCAGACTATCTACCAAACACAGAGGAGAATCTGAGGTGTTAGTTTTGGCCTGTAAAGCACAAAGTGGTTTGGGACCAGTTCATTTTCTCCCCAAATCACTGGTAAGATGAGCAGGGCCACGTGAACGTTAGAGATGCAGGCCTGCTTGCAGCCCAGGGCCTTCAACACCCCCTTCTCAGCACACCACACTCTCAACTCATCAATTTATGAGTCTTTTCCCCTAAGRTGCAATTTTTGGTAGAAGYCCACAACCYTAATYCCATTTACCAGAGCCTCCSTTTACCTTTCCYCCCCCTCCCCACCCCATTGCAGGASGGAGAACAGATAGGACATCTGCCAACAGAATTTTTATCRGTGGGACACCTGGAGTTTTTATCTAAGCTACACAAGATGTTACAGCCTTGTCTACACACTAGGATACCTGACACTGGCACAGGCCACAAAACAGTATGAGCATTAGAGAAAGAGCACCTGGATAGACACAAATTACGTGACCTTCATGAATTACATGACTTTCAACAATTAACATCTTTGCACTAAGCCTTCTGCTCTCTTGTAGACAACAGGAGTAATATAGTCTATCACCAGGGTATAAGCTTCAACAAGCCAATGCACAAATACCAATCTCAAAGCTCTGCCTCACATGAAAGCAGGCTCAGAGCAACTCGCAGCTTGTACCAAATGACCAGTCACAAGCAGACACTGGGCACAGGCTGAACTGGCACCTCACTTCTTCAAGGCACYAGCCCCTCTGGAGCTCAGCTTTTGTGGGACACAGGACTATCCAAGGGTAGGCAGGACCCCAGCTGTCCTTCTGTGTGGCACTGCCTGTGGTGGCTATGGAAAGACAGAAGAATCCAAAAGCCATCATCTCCTCCCAGAGATACAGAAAGCTGAATGACTGGTTGGTGGATCCCAGCCATTCAAGAGCTCTCATGCACAGGCAAGAGCTCCCCTGGGCTTCAAAGATGAAATGCTATGAAACTTGTTTTTCAATCACCAGAAGAAACAGATGGTTTTGACATCACCTCAAAGCAGAGGTGTCACGCTCCTCAGTATTTCCAAGTACTCCTGAAGTGAGAGCACAGGGTGGGTGAGTCCTTCTCTGGAAGGCAGGAAAACATGAATGGGCTGATAGGTGCATTCTCCAGGTGCACTGCTACCAAAGGCTGGCTGATCTGCAGCTCATCTTTTCAAGTACCAGATCCACCCCTTCACCTATACACAGGACCGGCCACCTGCATTTCCAGCCAATTCAAAACACAGGTTCTGCACTCCTCCCACACCATTTTAAATCACAAGGAACCCAGGTGCCATCAGCAGAGTTGCTGCTGGTTGTGGGAGAAGAGACAGACCCGATTCTTTTGCCAGACTCAATGTAATAGCAGTTTAAGTCYGCCCACTCCTTCCCTGAAGCTGAAGGACTTCCAGTATCTGAGCTGAAATTGGGTCTGCTAGTTAAATAATAATAGCTACAGCTCTTCCTACAAAAGGATAAGCAGGAAACATCCATATACTGGAAGACATGTCTGCTCACTTTGCCATGAATAGCCTCCTGCATGAAACCCATTGCTTGCACTGAGACAAGCTGGAGGAAGCAGCAGCACCGTCTGCTCCCTTTATTCCTGGCAGGAATATAGAAGACATATTTGCTCATGACAGCACAAAACAGTGAAGCTCTAAGCAGATTACCAGCATGTCCCCTTCTTCATTACAGCAACTCAGAGCACTGGAAAATGCATCCTGAGCAATTAGCACAGACATATTTGTTTAAATACATTTTATTTCTTTTATTATAGAGACTCTTTAATTATAGAGTACTGCCAAGAGAACAGGCATTTATAACAAGGGGTGGTAGCCAAGACCAGCCTCAAGGCAATTGCACCCTACTTAGAGCACACTTCAGGCTTTTATTCAAAGCCTGGAGCCAGAAGGGACTACAATCTGATTGCTCTTCCATCACTGCCTCCCAGATTTCTGGGCTCAGTAACTTGGGTTTGGATAAAGCCTCTCTTCAAGTAAGGAGCCCAGTCATGATAAAAACTAATTTTTAGGGGGAGGACCCTCCACCGCCACATTGTAAAATTACATGTCTTGTTTCTCAGCCAAGTTTGTGTGACTGCATCTCCCAGCCATCCTCGAGGTGGCTTTAGGAAGGTTTGTCTGGGGGACTGGGCAGAACTGGGAATCTCTCTCTCTGGGAGAAGGTAACTGATACTTCAGCAGCCATGAGTGCTGACAGAGCATGAGCTGTCTGCCTCTGCCAACCCCACTGGCAGGAAAAAAAGCCAGTTGTTAGCTCTTCAGCTTMAAGCTGCTTCTGATTCCTCTCTGGAGCCAGGCCCACCAGGGACTTGTTATGAATTTCAAACKTAAGGTAAAACATGGCTTAAGCAGACTGTTCCTAGGACCTCTTTACAGCTGAGCCACATAAGAACTGCCCTCTTCCATAATATCATTCACTTGAGTAAAAAAACAGGACAAAGCATACAGGGCATTTGCCCAACTGAGCTGCACAACAAACAGGCCTTGCAAAACTAATCTTCTGAGGGGACATCTTAAGCCCCATCTTGTCAGCTTTCCAGGGGAAGCACCAAGGTGGCTCAGGAGCTCKCCTTCCACCAACTTCCAATGAATCTGCAAGATCAATACATTTAAGCCAAATTTCCAACAGTGCCTAAAATTCCTAAGGCTCTAATTGTCAATTTGTTGATAAATGTCCTCCTGTCATCCTTAAGCAGCAGTTGTCATCTGTGACTGCTCTCAAGACACCCACTGCAGCAAAGATGATCCTTTTACTTCTGAACATCCCAAGTATAGGAGGTCCAGAACATGTCTGCAGAAAACATCACCCTCCACTATCCAGTTTCAGCTCTTTCTGCCTTTTTCCAGTTATTTCTGTCTTCCCACACCTCCTAAGTTTGAGGGTATCATGTCATTTTATTTCAGCTGTATTAGAATAGAGAAAAAAGATCTGTTGATAGCAACAACCTTTCTTGGGGGAAGTTCAAGGAAGAAGGAAAGRGGATACCCAATTCTATTCACATAACTGAAAAGAGTACCCAAATCACTTCTCTTCATTATTCATGTAATTACTTCCATCTAGATCCAACACACTCAAAAGCCATGCACATTACCARGTTCATCAAAAGATAATTGAAATYTAGGACCGAACACTTTAGCAATTAGACTCTACAGAGACAGGTGCTCCAAAGGCACAGAGATGAGACCATCCCTGCTTCACAGCTCCTGCTGCCACAGTAGCCACACCTTCAGAACTTCCATCATAATGCACAGAAAGAATTGTAATGCCTCGAAGGTTTAAGGAAAAGGATTCTGTATATCCCTTGCTATCATAATTAAAGACTTTTACAAAGTGCTGGTCCACACAGCTGCTGCCATTAATAACATAATAACAAAAGCTCTTCCTGCATCCATCTCAGTGGCTAGCTTGAAATTCTTCCTGGAAATGCACATGCAGCAGGCTTTCTGTAGCTTTCAAAAAAAAAAAAAATTGAAAAACCCAACAACTATTACCACGCTGCCAAAAGACGAAGCCCTCTGAGCACAGCATCTCTGTGTGGCACAGACCCACAATCTGCTGCTCTGCTGCAGCCAKGCAGAGACAGGGAACTTGCAGCACTCACATGGATAACAAAGTTTTATAAAATCACCCTGCACACCCASTGCAAAACTAGAAGAAAGCAAGTCCTAAGCAAGCTCTAGAAAGTTAAAACTAAGAAGGTGGGGGAAATAAAAAGTGGATAGAAAGAGATAAGCAAAATGGAAGAATCCAAGTTTTCTGTCCTAAGTTAATGTCACTTCCATTGGAGCTGATCAGTGGGGCTTTCAGGAGCACCCCACAACCATCGGGTTCCTCACACTTGGCTCTGCTCAGGTAGCTAAAATCCAAAGTGGTCATTGCAGGAGGCATGGATGCCAGCCCAGGAAGGCTCCCAGCCCTCTTGAGAGGGGCTTATCCCATCCCCAGCCCATTTGCACTCAATCAAAGGCTCATTTCACAATCCTTATGGAAATCAGTGAAYGCAGTAGGACAGAAAGCTGGGATATGTGTCCCGTGTTGCTCAGCCCTGCAGTCCCCTGCACGGCTCAGCAGCTGGGCATGACAGTGGCCTCTGAGCAAGGGGAAATGTTCTGTTTTTAGCTCCGGGGAGTTAAGGGCAGTGACAGCCTTAAATCACAGTCTGAATACTTTCTGCGCCTGTTTACCAGTTTCCTGTTTTCTTGTTACCAAGATGATGATCTTACACTGAGGGTTATTGGAAAGCCAGAAAATCAAGGACTGCAATTCAATTTTCTTACCTCTCCCACCAAAAGTAATTCAGCCTTTGAAGTGCTGGAAGAGGATGAGGGGTCATTACTTGTCTCTGGGGTGCTCCTGAGGGTCAGAGCAGGCAGCTCGCCCAGAGGATAATGTGAAATCCAGCACGAGGAACCAGGGCACACCAATTTGTTTTTCAATCTATTTTGTTGCAGTTCTGAGCATCAGTGCAGACTGATAACAGAGGAAAATAAGCAACACTTTGACTAAATTCAGCGCTCCACAGTCTCTAAAGGTAGCAGAATATACCACTCAGACCCCACACATTTTGGCTGGCTGTCTGCACTAAGGCTCATAACAGAAATACAATAGATCAAAAAGCAAACAGCTCTGCTCTAACTCTTAATGGCAAATTTTCTTCAAACCACGGGATGCCCCAAAAAGCAAGCAAAATCATGTAGTGGAAAACGTGCATAAACGCAAAGAAACGGCCAAAGTTTGCTCCAGTCACTGCTCAGCCACAGATCACTATACCCAAGAACACCAAAAGTGACAATTATATYTTGCAGTTTCCCTTAACATCCACAAAAAACAAAAACTGGACATGTGAACTTTTTTTTGTCAGGTAGGTTTACATCAGAGAGAATGGCGTGTTGCAATATCTTAGTGACTCGTTAAAAAAAAAACCAAAACTACACTACTTTGACYAGTTTTTGTGACCCATTTTGTATCAGCAGAAGTAGAGGAGACTTTTACTGCCACAGCCAAGCACAGACATGGCTCRACACACTACTGAGGAGCCTTGACCAAAGCCCTTTAAAATTACACTTCTCAAGCATGGTCACCCCAAAACGGGTCTGATTCCCTCAGACTTCTTAATAAGTACACAGAATTACTGTGTACTGAGCTGAGTCTATCGAGGCACCCAGACTTCCACCACTGTCACTTCCTGCCATCAGGCCTTCAGACACCTCCTCAGCCCCAAAACTCCATCAAGAGAAAACGATTTTCAACAACTCTTCAAACATGGGTACAGCTGCTCTAAAACAGCAGAGGAAGATGCAGCATTCTGAAAGCCGAGTAGGTTTGGCCCCACAAAGCCAACGCACTTCCTCCATCTCCTGGAAGATTCTATAACTGCTGAGTTGATTTTTGGYGGACAACAGGGACATTTTTGGCACCTTCTTGAAGTGGTATGTCAGGGCAGTTAGAACATACTGGAAAGAGAGGAAACAAGAGTAAAGAGCAGGGTAAAGAGGCTGGGAGAGGATCTCTCCTCTGGCCCATACTCCAACAGGCTGTTCCTGAACCACCCTGTCAACCCAAATTCCTCCTGAAACACAACACACGAAGCATCTCTTAACCAAAACCCTGCAGAATCCTGCTGCCTTATGTAATGTCTGGCCCAGAATTCAGGTGTATCAGTCTTCCTGTCCASCACAGGAGAGCAAACTGCCCCTAAGCCTCACCTCAATGCAGCCTGTCCTTCTGCAGGGAGGAAGGGGTTTCACTGAGCAGGACCCACTCCAGCACCTCTCTGTAACACATCTCACCTGAACTGGGGACAGGGACTCTGTCCCTGTGGACTCTGACCCTGTGGCTCTCTTCTCCCTGCTCTGCTGCAGCAGATCCGTTGAGCTGGAGATCACAAAGGAAACCAAATGAGACTGCTCGCTTTTTGGTGTAGTGCAAAAAGCCTGTTAATTTCTCTTGAAGAGTCAGTCTTGATGGATTGTCTCAAAGAACAGATGTGATTAGTGTCCAAAGCAAGGAGGGGAATCTGCTGTGACCAAAGCACAAGATAAACCCCTTCCACGCCTAGGTTTAAAAAACTTCCTGAAGGGTCACACCTGCCCGAATGCACAGTTAATAACACCTTTGAAAAGTCAGTGGCACCCAGCAGACAGGCTTTAGCTCGCTGATAGAGACAAAATTCCACAGGTAACATCTTTTATGTGCAGGTTACAAAAGGAAAAGCCCCTGCCACAAGGCAGTGACAGGAGTGCCCAGCTGCCTTTGGCAGAGGGAACACGGGGAGTGTTTTAAATGAGAAGGACTGTATTTTTTGGTCACGCCTACAAGGTTCACTTGGATTTAACACGGGTGGGGTGTGGGAATCCCCGCTCCGGCCAGGTTGAAGGCAGGGRCACCCTCGCAGTCCCCTCAACCTCCTCACCCACCTTAAAGGTTTCGTAGGGGCCGGTCCCTCTCTGCCGGCGGGGGAGGGACCCATCCGTCCCGCGGCTCCCGGGGAGAAGCGCCCCATCCCGACGGAGSTGTGGCACCAAGGCGAGGTGGCTGGAGCCAGAACACCGCAGCAGCGCTATGGTTTTACCTTTATTGAGCGCGGCGGCAGCGGGAACAATGAGGCTCCAACAACAGCCGCCCCTGTTCCCGCCCGCTCTCCCCTCACGGCGCCGCCATCTTGGGGCCGCGGCAGCGCCTCCCGCCCCYTTCTTCCCGGTGTCTTCCAGTCTAATTATTTATGCCCTGGCTGAATTTTCTCACCTTTTGTAAACGTAACTGATGTAGTCAGRATAACGTCTACAACTGAAGTTGCTTAATGAAGAACTCTTGTTTCAGGCATTGCGCAAGGTCACATCAACTAAATGCATATGTATTAGGTAGGCGGAGAATATGTGTTAGATCGCTGGGTTCGTGTGAATTTTACTGCATAAAAGATACGGCGTTTTACCCCTTGGTGTACTTTATTTGTGGAAGCCTCCACCTTACACCCTGCGCAGATTAAACCATGTCTCTTTTTCTGAACTAGACGTTGTGCCTATGTTTTGGGAGCGCCTAAAACCGGCAACACCGGCGCCCCGTCCGCGGGCAACTCTGAGGCCATGGCGGCTCCTCCTCCCGCACTCCCCCCTCATGTCCTCCCGCACTCTCCCCTCATGTCCTCCCGCACTCTCCCCTCACGTCCTCCCGCACTCCCCCCTCACGTCCTCCCGCCGCCTTCGCCGTCGTAGCCCTGCCGTCGGACTGTGGAAGTGGCTGCTCAGGGAGGCGGTGGAGTCACACCCTCTGGAGGTGTTGAAAGAAACATCGGGCATCGTGCTTAGTGCCATGGTCTAATTGACAMGGTGGTGTTGAGTCGTAAGTTGGACTTCGTCTCAGATGCCTTTTTGAAACTAATTGATTCTGTGATTCTGTAATAAAACATCACCTTCCTGTGCTAGAGCCGAGGCTCGTTCCCTGAGGGAGGTGATGGCGATGGCCAGGCTTGGGCTGTGGGAATGCTTGTTCTGGGCGTACTTTGGGGGTCTGGCTGTGGGACATGGGGCAGGTTGACAGCTGTGGGTCCTGATTTGCTTTTCCATTACCTGTTTGCCCAGTTTCCAGCCACTGACTTCCCATCATGCTGCCYGCATGGCTCCCTGTGCCCTCCTGACAGCATCTCACCATGGTGTGCTGGGGAGGACACCTGGGTCACCTGGGGTACCAGCTCTAGAACTGGGGTACTGAGGGGTGTGTGTGTCACAGGCAGAGACCCTGGGATGTATGGCTGCCCCTAGGATATGCAAATAGCTAAGAAGCCCACCGATGTTGAATGCCACCATTCTTGCCCATGTTTTGTGCATGTCAGCTGTGTGTGTCAGTCTGTGTGCAACAGGATGCAGAGTGGAACTAGGCTGTTCTTACAGCCAATGTGCCAGCATCCTACTCTCAGGGCAGGGGTGACAAGACCCCAGTTTTTATTTCTGCCATAGCAGGGGTACTCTTTGTTCCTCTCTGAGACCCTGATCTGTATTTCTGCCATAGCAGGAGAGCTTCTTGTTCCTCTCGGTGACCTCGCTGTGTTTCTGTTCCCTGTCCCTCTTTCAGCAACCTGACCCAGCCTGTGGCTCACAAAGGGCCTCTGGAGGCATTTTCTTCAGCAGTCTGGAGCTTCCAGATGGCCYCAGTGAGTGGGACTGGCTCTGCCACCAACAGCCAGTGCAGTGAAGGCCACCAAGTGTCCCTGCTGACCTCACTGAGCCACAGCTGTGTGGGGATCATCCCCTGGCCAGCTCACATCTCCTGGCCAGCTCAGAGAGACACCTCTCCCATGTGCTAAAGTCGAGCAGGCATTCTCTGGTTGCACACCTGAAAACTGCTGGTCCCTCTGTGCTCAGCTCTAGCAGAGCTCTGGGGAAGTTTTGTCTGACTTGTGTCATTGGAGCAGCAGAAAGATTTTGGCTGAAATTTGTGTGAAAAATAAAAAACCCTGCAATCTCGCCAGGCAGCACATGAAGTAGCAGGTTCATTTCCATTCACATTCCCAGCCCTGGAAGGGGGTTATCTGCTCCATCTAATGATAGATTGCAGAGGAGAGCTAATGAACTGACTCATTTGCATAAACGAGTGCTAATTGTGGGGTAAGTGTACAGAGGTGTGGAGAGTGATATCCTGGGCTATGTGTGACCTGGTAACCAGCAGCAGGCAGGCAGTAGGGCCTGGGACTGTGGGTCCTGGCGACTGCCAAGCCCTRCCCCCAGGGATGCAGATGAAATTCTGGGACTGGCATGTGGTCAAGCAGATTAGCTTGCAGACAAATGTGTATTAATTAGAAACCCACAATTTCATGATGAGACCTGTTCTGCTTTGGGACCTCTGTGCTCTGCCAGGGAAATGCCTCTGTGCCAAGAGTGGCACAGCAGCTATTCTGTCATTACAATAGAAATGGCATTGCAGCAGCAGGTTTCAAGGTCACTGTTGGTGAACACAACAAAGGCAGGACAAGCTGTTTTCTTGTGGAGGTGTGGAGAGAGGTTCCTGGGGACCTGTTCAGGCTATGGTTCTTTGCCAGTCTCCTGCACTGAGCTGTCTTTGCTATAGCTGTCAGTAGTCACTTGACCAGTTTTCTCCTGAGTGCTCCTATTTTATGTGTTGAAGGGATCCCTGTGAGAGTACTCTGGACCCAGATCTGGTTATTTTTATCCCCAGGCTGGTGATGATCAAAGCTAGGTGATGCTGAGAAGTCATCAGTGGCTCTTGCTCTGTGGCTGCTGACAGCAGCCGACCTGGAGATGACACCCTGGCTTTGAGAATGACCTGCTCCAGGCTGTGGGAGGAGAGGCTGGCATTGGCCAAGGAGCACTGATGAGATGAAGGGCAGTAGCTGCTACACTTAGAAAGCAAAATCCCCATCACTGTGAGATCTGCACTTGCTGCAGGGCCATCTAGTGCTGTCTGAGGCATGCTGAGCCACAACAGAGCAGGCGTACCTTCTCTGCAGAAACCAAAACCTTTCATGTAAGGCCTCTCTCTCTTGGGCAGAGAAGAGTCCCAATGTCTCTGCTACTTAGAGAGTATTGATTCTTGTGTGAGAAACTTGCAGCTCTAGCACTAAATGGGGTGAGGTTTTGGCTACAGGCTTGGGAGCCTGCCTATCTGTTTAGTGTTGTGATACTTCCTGCAAGCACCTGGAGCAGACACCTGTGGCAACAGCTTTTTGCCAGAATTMGAGGAAGAAGCTGTCTCTGCCCAAATCAAGGCAGTGCTGCAAAAGATAACAAAGGGGTGGCTCTTTGCTGAAACCAGCTCTGGAGCTGAAATTGGTGTTTGCTGGGCAGTGTCTGTGATTTAGGGGGGCCTAACAGCCGCCTGCTAGGAGAACACCCATGGTCTCCTACCTTAGAGGGGATGGACGGTGGTGTGTGGAGGTGACACGACAGTGACACAATGAGGAGCAAYATGCATGTCTTCAGAGACAGACTCTTGTCCAAATGCTACATGACACTCTGGCTACAGGGACAAAAGCAGATATGGAAATTCCTGTCCCCATCTCCCTGCTTCTGTCCCTCCTGCTGCTTAATTCAATGGGACTTGTGTTGATACCATATAAATCAAACCAATGCCATGATCCAGGAGTAGTTTCCCCAAATAACAAAAAGGGTGAGGAAACAATGGACCTGAACAGGTTCCCAGCGTAGCTTTGTCAATTACCAGCACAGTAACACTCCATTGTCCCTTGAAAACGTCTTAATACTTGTACAGCAAGTCCTGGTGAGTGGAGCTGTACCACTGAGTGCTTCCTTTCCCCAGAGTGTAGGACTGCAGGATAAAGCTCTACCAGGTGACTCTCCAAGGAACCCAAAGGGAAAGACCTGAGTGAGGTGAGCTGCTTTTGAATTCAGCATCCTGCCAGAGATCACCTGTGTCACACAAAGGAGCCCRGGTGAGCATGTACCATGCCTTGAGCTTCCATTCTCACTGGGAGCACGCAGAAGTCCCACAGAGGCAAACAGGCCTTATCTCTTTTCCCTTGAAAGAGCCCCTCGTGCTGAGACCCAGCCCACTGAAGAAGGGAGGACAGCCCTGCCTTGCTCTGCCAAAACATCCTCCACACAGCTTGGAAAGCTCATGGCAGGGAGTCAGATGGGGTGAAACCCAACCTCCCCTCCGGAGCTGGGACACTGAGACGCAGTCCTCTCCAGAGGTCACGTCTTCTGAAGGAATGGATCCAGTACGTCTGCCTGGGTGGGATCACTCTGGTGGCCAAATCCAAACTATGCTGTTTCCACAAATTTGTGAGGCAAGCAAGCGCTATCCCTGACTTGCGGCTTCTTCTGTGAGCACTTGAGGGCGCYGTTGGAGTTTGGAAAGAGGCAGATTGCTTGGGTGAAAGATTTGTTTCGTGTCATACCATGCAGAGGCACATCAGTTTTGTGGCTTCTGTTCTCAGGGGYTTGTAGCTTTGGCCTGAACGCTACGTCTCAGGCAAAACCTTTCACAGAAAATATCATGTGGACTTCTTTTATCTTTGTTTTTCTGTAAACATTTCTCCCTCCCATCTTTCTAACACCAAGGSTCCTCTCATGAGGGTCAGGTCTTGGGGAAAAGGCTGTGCTGCACAATGAATTCCTGAGAGGAAGCAGAGAGTTTGATCACATGGAATTACACTTGCACAGATGGTTTAATTTTCCAAAGCATTGTTGATGCAAGGACGCACAGCCTGTCCACATGTGAACACAAATCTCCTCGCTCCTGATGCCGGTCTCCAAGAAAGGCAGCAGCACAAGGCTGTGCTGGGGGTCAGCACTGCACCGGCTCAGAAGGGCTGCACACAGCACTCTGCTGGGAACCTGTGCCAGAATAATTATTTACGTCTGCTGGCATAAAGTAATTGCTAATGGAGTGGAACACCATGCACGACCCCTCCAAGCTGTCCCAGAGGACACACTGGGAGTTACGAAGCRAAGTGCACTCTCTGTGTACCAAACCAGATTTCCTCCCACCTTGGTYCTCCTCCCTCCTTCCACTGGAGCAGCTGGTTCATGGCAGAGGAGTCTCTGCCCCMCTTTGCCCCATCCTCTTGCCTTTGCCAGCACATTCCAGGGTTGCGCTCAGAGACTGTAAGTTGCCCTTTTATTCCATCTAAATTGCCCTCAAAAYTGAGTTGGATGGTGTATTGGGGAAGTCCTTGCTCCCCTTAAGAAGCAGGGATTGTAAATGGGTTTGAAATATTTCACTTCTGTGTTTCTCCAKCCATATTGAAGTTTCCCTGAAAAGATGGACTGCTGGCACCCAGACTGACTTTGTAATGCCGTTTTGTCATTCCTGGTCCATCAGCTTCCTTGGCTTTTGACTTCATTACTTTTTGTGGCAGTGACTCCCAAGAGAGACCATTTCAATGGCATTTGTCATTCCTGCTTCTTTCTGTGGGGTGTTTGGGGAAAGAAATCTTATATCCAGCTTCCCCCAGGATACTGAACTGGGTTCACTCTGTTGCTGAGTGTGGTAGTCCGGTCTGAGCAGAACACATTGAGAACATCAGGCTTTCCAAAGGCCATCTTCCCCTTCTCCATCAGATTCTGACTTCTGTGGCCTCTAGAAAGTCCAGTTYCCTGGGTCTGTTGTTGCAATTGCAGCTATCATATATCTGTGATCCATTACTAAAGTGATCAGGTTTCTTCCAGTTTTTCCACAGACAGGTTGGAGTTTCAGGAGGCTGCAGAGATTCCTTTCAGGATGGGGCACAGCACTTGTCTTCAGCTGAGCATCAATATCCAGCCCTGGCACCACTCCAGGCATGCCTTCATCCTCCACTCAGCATGCCTAGGCATCTGTC